ATTGATCGTAAGTCTCATCTGGAAATATTGAATAAGGAAGGTAGTTTTAGGATACACCAATTGTTCTCAAAATTTGAAGACGGGGCACACTTGAAATCCTACCAATAATTTTAGGTGCACTATATACACATTTCGGAAAAATATTTTATAATGAAGTCAAATATTGCAGAAAAGAAATAATGCAATAAAAAAACATAAAATGAAACATACCTTAAGTTTATTCATTCTTGTGTTTATGAGAAACATTAGCCTGATGAGTCTTAGCGACTTCTTCAATATTTGGGTGTATATTTGATAGGCAAACTCTTATTTCCTCCTCAATACATCGAAGAGTTCCTCTCTTTTTGCACTTAATTGTGGTGAGAACAGAAAAGCCTAATTCAAATAAATATGATCTTGCAAACTGATGTAAAATGGTCAGAGCTTTTTTAGATATTGACATATATTCTTATTTTATAGAAACCCAAAAGGCTTTAAGAGGCAATTCATTATGTTTAATTATCAACCCAAGATCATTGGCCATACTGGGTATGACGATAAACTACGTCCAACAGCAAGACGTCTGATCAGTAAGTTTTGAGGAGCGTGAAAACACCTCTAAATTGCTGGTGTTCCCAGGTCCACCTTGACCCGGGGTGGTAGCGCTTGTTAGGGTCCCAGCTATGGGCAAATACTTAACCCCGAAACTGAGGTAAAAAGCATTATGGAAGTGTAAAAATAGGTTTTAATACCAGAATTACCAGTAATAAATTTTTGAAAGATAGAAAACTATTACCAGCAATATATTTTTGAAAAAAAATTACCAGCAATACGTTTTTGAACAAGAAAATACCTGCAATATATTTTTTTAAATAATATTACCAGCTATACTTTTTTTGAAGAAAAAGCATTACCAGAAATAGATTTTTGACAAAACACAAGGAAAAAAGGGTTGTTGGCATTAAATAACACATTGAGGTTGATATACCGTAAAACAAAATAAACCAAACCAAACACAGATCACTGTATATAATAAAGTAACTAAATTAGCTTATAAACAAATAAATGATAAATTATAAATGATAAATTACTATGAAAGTATAAATAAGATAACTTTTAAATAAACAATCCTAATTCTCGTCATCATTTTATGTTACATAATTACATCTTTTAGTAATCAACTTTCTTGAACTAGGCCTGGAGGACCTACCAGCAATTCCTACCAGTTCAATGCAGTAAATCAAAAGCTTCCTATCAATGAAGCTTTCCCCGAGGGCTATCCGTAACGAGAGGGGTACCGCAATAGAATAAAGTAAATATATTTATTTCTTATATCTGGACACATATTTCTCTGGAATACCAGGATGCACCTAGACATCTTCCAGGGCGTACCAGTGTCCCTAGCCGGACCATTTGAGAACCATTGACATACACCATAATCTTATGGCTTGGCCAGGGTTTCTTCATCAGGATGGTGACACGATTTCAGGTGCTGATCCCATTTTTCTCCAAGTTCATTACTTGTTCCTAGTCCAAATTTTTCATCTATTTCCCTATCTCTGTCATTGTTTACTTTGACATTCACGCCTTCCATGACGATTTACAGTGAAGCCTTTGATTTGTCTATCATACAATAAAACTTTCCAAATTCATGTTAAAAGGCTTCCTTTTCAGTTTAACTACAAGAAGTCTTTCTGATAATTGCTAGTATACCAGGACACATTTCTTCAGGTCTTGATCTGATGATGCCTATCAATTAAATATCAGCTTGTATTTAAAAATCCAAATATTATACATAAACGAATAAGATAGAAATATCAGTTAAAATTCAGCTGTACAAAATAGGACGTTTGAAGGAAAATGAATTTCTCTAATGTAACTTGCTTTGCTTTGTTAGGAAATTTTCTCTTCTGACAAAGATAAGATTTTAAACGATTCGATCTCGATTATACGTATAATGCTGAAATGGACCTTCAGTTTTTGGATATCTTTATCAGATGAACTGTTCAATTTACAATGGGAAATGATTTATTTTAATCTTGCTTTTATTTTTTAGCCTTCCGTAATTTAAAATTATGAACAAACGAAACTTTCCTTCCATTTGCATAAAAACGAACCGGAAAGAAGTCCCCAATTTAGTTTTATAATTACACTGTATACTGTAAGTTTTTAAAACTTAACATTAAGAAATAAAATTAAGTTCAAGTTCATGAAAGTAAAGAGATTTTCCAAGTATAATATACTATTTCTCAACGATTCGGTTTAATGAAATAGTGCATTTTGATATTTTGTTCTTTGTTGGGACTAAAGACAAAGTCAATAAATTAAACTCTCTTTCTCTCTCTCTCTCTCTCTCTCTCTCTCTCTCTTTGTCTCATTCTCTTTTTTTTTTTTCTAACTCACTCAGCATCTCTCTATATATATATATATATATATATATATATATATATATATATATATATATATATATATATATATATATATATATATATATATAAGATATATATATATATGTATGTATTGAGAGAGAGAGAGAGCGTTTAAAATGAATAAATATTTCTCAGTAACCATATTTAAAAAATAGTTACGGAGACATTAATTTTATAAGTCCTCAAAATTCATGTATTGATGACTTCAAAGACATATGGCGCAGTGGATAAAAGCGTTTGTTGGATCCAGTGAATTGATCCGAAGAGTTGTGAGTTCAATACCTGGCCACTACAGAGGTGAACAAAAACTTGGACTGTTGAGTTAAAGGGAGATAACTGTGACATCCGGAAGAGGCATGACACGTTGGATGAAATAAAGAGTTCAGTCCGAAATTCCAATCACCTGAAGAAGGCGAAACGTTGTAAATATGGCTAAGTTCAAACAACGTAAATAATTACAATAACTCATATCACAAATATAGACAGACATTTTGAATGCTTATAACTCTAATCTCATGATCTATAAATTCAGTGTTGAATGATTGTGCGCGTCCAAAATGATAGCGCATGGCCATTCTGCTCACCACTGGAATCACATACATCACTGATCACTTCATTTACCAGAAATCTCTTTCAATGGCATTCATTTCCTTGATGTTTAGCAATAAATCTTATCTTTGTTATGTCTAAATAAAAAGATTCTACTGGAATGGAATCTGGTGAAAGCGTGGGTCTTCTTCGTCCTTTTCATCCAATCAGCAGATTTTCACCAAAGATACGCTTTCAAATCACAACAGTCGGTATTGTCGTCTTTGATGACGTATACCTGTTTTGAAATTTTTTTTTTTTTGTAAAAGGCCGCCTTAAAAATGCAATAGATACCTAATTTTTAAATGTTTATTTCACGAGCTAGTCGACGAAATCATCTTCGGGGTACTTATTGCTAGATTTCCATCAGTCTTTCCTCTTGTATAAGGTTTGAGGATGACCGTGAACTTCGGAAATTATGCTTGTGTATGTCTTGAGTCATTCATTCTGCATGAAAATGTTTTCTAATATGAGCAATATCGAGTGGTCTCTTTGAAAATCTCGTTTAAATTGCATTTGTCTTTGAACTATGATACCGGGCCTCCATCACCACAATAGGGCAAATTCTATTTTATCAAACGTTTAATTCAATTTCAGGCAAGATTTTGATTGAGTTTCATCGAGAAAACAAGAAATATTTAGTAAGAGATGGGCTGGAAAATTTTCAGACAATTTCTTGTGAATACAGAGTATCCAAGCAGACAATGATATGATAAACAGTGGGCTTCCATGTTAATCCTTTCACATGTCTGAAAGACGACTGAAGATGTTAAAATTTGGCGCATGCCGCGTAACGTTAGGTTAGACCGTCTTCTCTTTAAGATTTTCTTATTTTGTATTCTCGAGTGCCTGTCGAATCCTATAAATATGATTTGATTTGGTATGTTTGTTTAACAGCATATAAATTCCTTATAGATCATTTAATGCCGAAAATTAAGCTTTGAAATAATAAAAATATGATACATTATTCTGCTTTCGCAACTGAATACATGGTAGAGGATACTCTGATTTTGTGCATATACATTCATACGGCTTGATTTCTTTCAGAAATTGTAGGATATTACATTGAGTAATGTCATGAAATATTTCTTTCATATTGATTGTTTGGTTGATATTGCTTAGTGACATATGAACACATCTATTGGTTATTTAATGACGAAATCTAAATATGTGGAAGAATTTTATGGCTTCAACTAAATATTTTTTACTATAGAAATGTACTTCTATATTTTCATAGTGTTGTTTTTTTTTTTCTGTGGGGCGTGGGTTCACTATCTGACCATAGCTGGGACCCTAACAGGCCATAGAGGACGTAGGAAGAACACTAATTAAGTGATGGTTCCATGCTCCTTAAAACCTCCGGATCAGAGGCCTTGCCGGATGTAGTTTATCATCATGACCAGGAATATATATATATATATATATATATATATATAATATTTTTATTTAAAAATATTTGACATCGCGACACAGAAATCTCTGTTTCGGAAATTTAAATTTGTTCCATTATCAAGCGATGTTAGGTAACTTTTCCTAAAAAATGCATAACATCGAAAATGTTACTTAATATCGCTTGATAATGGAACAAAGTCCCGAAACATAGAAATTTTCGAGTTGCGATGTAAAATATTTTTAAATAAAAATATTATTAAACTATTATGCTCTGCGTTATATCAAACACAAATTAAATGTAAAAGAACTGCGGATTCTTAATCTGACTGTTCTTTCTTTATATATATATATATATATATATATATGGATGAAACATCTGAATCTTATTTACTATGGGTAGAAATTCTTATTCTACGGTGAATGTTATTTAAATGCGTGCGTGTTTGTTTGCTCGTATTTCTCTTCTGCTTTACATAAGAAGTCGTTTATTTTATTTTCAATTTAACATGATTTACAGGAAAATGAGGACGCGTAGGTGGACAAATAAAAACTGGTTTTACTGACTTTGTTTTTGTTTTAATCTTTTAATTGAAATTTATTCTTTTCACTTACGGCGAAAACGCACAGATAAGAAGCTTATGCAAACAAAAAGAGATAGATAGATAGATAGATAGATAGATAGATAGATAGATAGATTTGAACAAACTGGGATAGATAGATAGATAGATAGATAGATAGATAGATAGATAGATAAAACAAACTGAGATAGAAAGAAAAAATATCTATCTTCAATCTCGTTTTCACTCTCTCTCTCTCTCTCTTCCTCTCTCTCTCTCGTCTCTTCTGTGTGCGGCTGTGTATGTGTGTGGGGGTGCACGTGTGTGTAAATGCTCTTGCTTGTTTGTTTTTTTCCTTAACAATATTACAGTAATGGGTTTGAATCCGTGGTCGATTTGTCAGGAAGGAGACTCCCTCATGTGAACGGACTGGAGAGGTTCGATCCCACCATGCGGACCATTTGGAAAGTGTCTGAAAACCATAGCATGGGTTGACACAAGCTTTGTGAGTGAAATTGGGTAGACGGAACTCTTGGGGGCTGTAGACAACTGTGCTAGCACGAAGTCATAAGTCATCGTGGCCGAGGGCTTGGGCGTGCTGGCCTTGTTCGAATTGTTGATCACGCTAGATAACACGCTCTTTCACAGAATCTGTAACTAAGATGTGCTCAGCATAGTTGCAGTATAAACCATAGATGAGCTATGTGGGTGTTGATCAAACACAAATATGCCTGAGAGAGAATCTGCAACAGGGATTGGCTAGACGCCCTAGTTGACGGGTATCTTCGAATACGAGTGGCCAGTTATACGTTTCCTAGGAACGTTGGATGACATGACCAAGAGTCAGTTTATTCTTACGAATATATTTGTATGCACATATTTGTATGTGTATGCACAATTAAGAATGATTTTTTTAAGAGATTCATGCAAACATCGTTATAGGCACAAAGAAATAAAAATAAAATCAGTAAGGACGAGACATGTGGTATTTAGGAGTGATAGAGAAAAAGATACACAGAGAGAGAGAGAGAGTTATTGTAATATAGAAAGACAGACAGGCAGACAGAGGTAGATTTGGACACACATCGATTGATCTCTCGATAGGTAGGTAGATAACAAGATAGGTCGTATACTGCCTGACAGATAACAAGATAGGTCGTATACTGCCTGACAGATAACAAGATAGGTCGTATACTGCCTGACAGATTTTTAAAGCTAAATAATGAACAGATAGAGTGATCGATACGCAGTCTGATATTTTCAGTTTGTTTACGATATATGAAAAATATTCACGGGGTGTTTCTCAATGTTCAGGTAAAATGAAAAGTCATAGAACTGAACGCAACACGGATTTGCCGCTGGTGTTTTTGCTCGGTGGCCATTGTTAGATGACATATCCGACAAGACTATTTCAATAAAATTTAGGCTAAATAAAATTTTAGAATGAGAGTATATATATATATATATATATATATATATATATATATATATATATATATATATATATATATATGAGTGATAGAAATTAGGAGGATTTGAGATAATTATAATTAAGTAATTCATCGAGTCTAGAAGCAACCTCAACAGAATGCAGAAAGCATTGAACGGCAGTTTCGGCCTATATTTGGGACTCATTAGCAGGGCGCATCCACTACCGAGAATTGAAATTGACGTAATTTTCGCTTAATAGTATGAAAATAAGGTTCTCTAAATTCTTCCAGTTGCTAAGGACATTGTGTTTTTATTATTATTAGTTACTTTTTTTAATAAATTCATTTCGTTTTTTGCCTTGAAAAAGTCCACATTGGACGAAACGCGTCGGCAACTACTACAGTTTTCCTATTGTCTTTTATATATATATATATATATATATATATATATATATCATTAAAATTAGAAAACAGACAACCTTAAGGGTCCATTGATTATATTTTATTTCCTCAGGAAGTTGTTTTTTTTCTTCAGATCACATTTCCAAGCATAAAAAATGGTTTTAAATTTACGTATTATTTTTATATACATTTGAGGCGTAGTTTTAAGTTGATGTAAGGTGATATAGAAAGGTGGAGGAGGAGGACGACAGATATGGTCGAAATTAGAGAAGGAAGGAAGAGATAGGAATAATTTTAAATCTATTTTTATTAAAATACTTAAGAATAAGGGAACGGGTTAAGGAGCAGATATTGAGCTATTTAATAATACTCACAGGAAAGAGAAGAAAAAGAAGAAAAGGTATAAGAAAACAAATGTGGAAGCAGGGGTGGGAGGAAAAATGGGGAAAGAAGAAAAGAAAGAATAAATTAACATATACCTTAGGGTTAGCCTAAAAGTAAGGCATTAATTATTATAACCAAGGTTCGCTGATTTTTGGTGTATTTTGATTGGTCATTGCAGCGTATGTAACAGCGTTTCCCCTAGCGTGGGCTGTTTGATTGATTAGAACTTTTTGAAAACATTTATTCTACATTCAAAACCATCACTTGATAAGACACCAGAAGTGTTGAAACAGAGTAGCTATTTTTGTAGTGATTTTATAACATCTTTGTTATAATTTTCGAATAAATGATTATATATATATATATATATATATATATATATATTATGAAATGGACAAACTCCGACAATTATTTTAAGACAATTTTATGTTTATACATTTTTTAATAGATACAAATATTTAAGAAAATCTTCTGTTTATAATAAACAGTATTAAACAACATTTATCGGCCTGAATATCCGAGAAAATATTCGTCCCCCGACAGGAATCGAACCTGTATCCTATACAGAACCGTCATATAGCCTGACGTGCCTCAAGGAACCATGGAAGGCTGTAGTTTAAAGACAATAAAATCCACCTTGCTAACCGAACGCTCCTCTGTGGCCCAATCGGTTAAGGCACGTCAGGCTATATGACGGTTCCGTATATATATCTATATATTACATAGAATAGAATAACAAATTTACCTCATTCGAATAAGTAAAATCCTATGTTGGCACTGTCAACTCAGAAGTATATATATATATATATATATATATATATACACACACACATATGTAGCGTGCGATGGGATGTTGTCGCTATTTTACATATAATAGAAATGCAAATTTATCTCATTCAAATAGCTATTTCAGTCAACAAATGGCACTGTCAACTCAGAAGTATATATATATATATATATATATATATATATATATATATATATAGCTAATATTAGTGGTAAATATACACATACATATGCAAAAATATATAAATATATATATACATAGGTGCATACACATACATGTATATTTTTTGAATAAAAAAATCCCAAGAGGATAGAATCCAGGTAGAACTCAGTGTCCAGGACAGAGTAAGGATATAATAAAAAGGCTTAAACACTAATATTCCATGGTCATAATTTATTCCATTGGAATCGTAAATACGATCCAATTCATCAGACCTACAAATTTAAAAAGAAAACAACTCCGGAAACAAAAATAGAATTTAGAGAGAGTGTAAGTATGAGTGTGGGACGAATGTTAGAGCTAAAGCGAGGGGTAACTGACGAGAGAAGGTGGGAGATTAAAACTTAACAGAGAGAAGTTTTAGAGAGGTGAGGGGAAGAAGTTTAAGTGAGAGAAATATGAATGTTGTCGGATGTCTAATTTGGTACTGTTTGTGACAAAAAGACCACCATGACGCAATTCACTCCGCCAGAATTTTTTTTTTTTAAAACGGCATGCTGTTTTGGTTGACATTCCCGCCGAAATCTTTAATACGAATATTTTAGTATTTGAGTGTCAATTTGATTATAGTGCCGAAGATTCGGAATGAGTTAATTGAATCTATTTGCGATTACGAAGCTGTTTTGAGTGATCAGTAGTGATGCCGTCGTTATGCCAGCATTCGTCTTTCCAAAAGACCTCACTCTTCACAGGAAGGCCTACACCAAGTGCTTTCAGGAGGTAGTGCTGCCCTGAGTCAAGAATTTGGCTGCTGGAAGACCTTTGTCTGGTAATAGGACTACACCATGCCACACAAACAGGAAAAACCAGTTATGGTTGCCAAACAATTTCTGCGACCACATCACCCCTCACATCTGGCCACCTAACTCTCCAGACTCCACCCCCCTTGATTATTATGTGTGGGGCGCAGTTGTGAGAGAGACCAACAAAACTCCTTGTAACACCAAAGATGGATTGAAGGCAAGGATTATGGCAGCATTCACCAAATGAAACAAGGAGACCGTCCAAGTGTTACAGTAGATTCCAAAGTCGTCTGGAAGTCGTGCTTGAAGCCAATGGCGATTTTATTGAATAAATTTACTCTTTAGTATTGCAAGAAATGTTTGTGTCATTTTGGTAAATATATATTAAAAGGAGATGTCAGTGTTATTTTCATTTTTGCGTCATTTAGACGACAATTTATCCATTGTACCCTCTGTGTGCGTATGTGTGTGTGTGTGTATGTGTGTGTGTGTGTGATGAGCCGGTAAAAAGGGAAAATGAGAATTGTTGTAAAAGACGACTGCTTATTGATTATATGAAGATGATGTTTTTGGAAATGTTGTTACTGTATCCTTAGAAATTCAGAATAAACGAAATACCAAAATCGATTGTATACCTTGTTTTTCCTACAAACGTCCACTAAAAGGAAACCATTGATTTGTTTAAATTTCATCACTTGATCTTTTGCGAATAATGATTCTTCTTCTTCTTCTTCTTCTTCTTCTTCTTCTTCTTACATACAGCCTGATGTACTAATAGACATTTACTTATACTTCCTAGACAATCACAACATACACCTAATAACAGTACAATAATGAAGGATAATAGTACCTTCCATTGCTGTGAACGCAATCATAACTTGATATTCATATTTTCTCAGCTGAGCTTTCATAGATACAAATTTATTTCATTGATATGGAATTATTCTTCGATTGGCAATTTATTATGAAGTTATGCCAGTAATATAAAAGGTAGAAATTGTTTTATTATTTTTATTATCAGGTTATTTGATAATGTGAATCTTTTCATGTATGTTATTGGTTATCGAACCGATACCGATAAACATCGCTCAGAATTTAAGGTTTCTTTTTTAGAATTGTAGTATAAGACGACGCCCAGATTTTAAGGGTGACTTTGAAGATTTAAAAGTCGTCTTATACGCGGATATATATATATATATATATATATATATATATATTACAATCTGTTCATATCAGTTTATATAATCTATTTGCCTCTTTTAAATAATCAACATTATTTATGCCATCGTCAATAGTATGTTATACTAAGCACTTTGATATATTAAAGACTATATGTATGTATGCATATACATATATATATATATATAGATAGAGAGAGAGAGAGAGAGAGAGGGAGAGAGAGACCAACAGATAGATAGATAGATAGATAGATAGATAATGGACAGTAATCAATTAATTCAGCATTTAATCTCCTTCGAAGTATTCCCATTCTAATGCCATACACATGTTTATATATATATATATATATATATATATATATATATATACAGAAAGAGAGAGAAAAAGAGGTCTACAGATAGATTGATAGATAGATACGAATCACATTGAAAGAGTATGTCGTAGTAATAGTGTGACTGAGAGAGAGAGAAAGAGAGCTTTTATATTTCCTCATTTCTTTTCATATTTTTTCTCAGACATACGGCTGACTTAAATTCGACTGTTTTTTGGGTCTTTTTTTGTTGAGCCTGCTACCAAGAAATATGCTACCATCTTTCTTTTTAGTATTTTTTTAATGAATGCTAACGTATGTTTTGGCTCGTCTTGTTTTATCTATTTCTTTTTTGTTTTTCAACATGTACTCAAATCTATCTTCTCGCATTTACTGGAACAGCTGCCCAAAGTATGTTACACTTTGATAATTTCACATCATTAATGGGAAACTCGTATATTCGTTGGGTTCAATCCTATTTTAATTGGGTCATTATATTTATTGACTCTTTATTTTAAATTTTTTACTCCAGGATTTAGCTTCGAAATGCTTTAAGGCGATTAACTCATAAATATTTTTACTAGGATTAATTTGTGTAGAATTTGGGGAAGAAAAAGTGAATTGTGGACGTCTTTTTCATTTCTAAAAATAACCAAAAGGCATCGTTTTATGTTCAAGATTTTCTGCGTATATTTTATGAATTAGATGAAACGCAAAAAGAACATTTTTTCTCAGAGTTAGATGTTATCGTATAAAAACGTTTTCAACGAAATCAGTTCGGTTCATAAAAAGACTAAAAGATTGCTTTGTCTGCAAAATACTTAAAATCTGTATATTTAAAAAGCATCACTTCTTTAGTTATCTTCACTCTTAGTAAAGTATGTATATATGCACAAGCGTATGTCTAAAAAGAGAAAGTGAGAGAGTGAGTGGGCAGATAAGAAGATTTAGATAGGTAAGCAGAAAAATGGAAAAACATATACTTGTATATCTATATACTTGTATATCTATACTATTATTGTACTTGTTTGAATCTACGACCGTTACACATCTTTATCTAGGATAAGAGTGTAGAATCTGCCTGAACCCCAATATTTCTAAGTCGGAATTAGATATTTTTTATTATTACTAAAATGTTCAAAAGGCCCGAGTGCCATTCAATTTAGAGGGTTAATTGTACTGCGTATTAACATAAGTGGAGGTAGAAAGTGCGGCTTAGGATAGATAACGGTCGACCCTCAAAAAAAGAGGTTAAGATTTTAGTGATCAGGGAAGCATCCTCACGGGAGTCTGAGTGAAACTTCCTTTTTATAAATGGAATACAAATGAAATGGGGATGATTCGACTCTGTGTACATGGCTGTAACATAGCGACGAGATCAAGAGGAAAAAATTACTATTAAGTAGAAATATGAGTAAATGATAAAACTAAAGGAAATGGGAAAAGGTGTCTCAAGGAAAATATATATATATATATATATATATATATATATATATATATATATATATATATATATAACAGGTTAAAAAAAATAATTGTAATAATGTCGTTTTTGACCTTAAAAAATACGTCAAAACGAGATTATTACGTCATTATTTTTAATTAATTATATATATATATATATATATATATATATATATATATATATATATATATATATATATATTTGGAGAAAGCAGCCGGTGCGTCTCAAAAAATAATGGAACGTAATATTGAAAATCGGATAAGAATGGAAAATATAATAATACCAGCGATATATTCAAATTCTACGTGAAGACATATAATCCCACCGCCTATCATCAGGCATAACCTCCGTAGCATGCAGTATTATTTGAATTTCTTATTGAAATTTTTTTTTTCGCGATATACTGTCATTTACATTGTTCAACAGAATTTTTGGTACCAAGAAACAAAACACATTCTTTTTAGCTAATTTGATGGTTCCGACTCCGAAAATGAACTTACTTTTTCTTGGTTAGCTACCATTTTTGCTGTACAGAAATGCCTCGATTTTCTTATTTTTTTTGTTTTTGTTTTTTTAAAAAGCATTTCATTTGTTTTCTGTATATATATTGACCGATGTCAATATTTCTCGCAATAAAATCGTAGAAACCTTTCAATTCATATTTAAACCAACAAAATATTGGTCTGTTTATTGAGAAATAGTATTTTTCCAATAACAATCAGACCCTAAGTCTTTAAAAATAACAGGATTGAATATAGCAAGACGAACAAGTGTGACGTTCTAACCTTTTGCTGATTCGGATGGGAATCTTGTTAGATTCGGTATCAGCCTTGTCGTTCCCAGCTCGCCTCAACGTCTGGTTACCGAAGTAACTGCTTTGATTTCTAGTCTAACCTACCCACGTTGTGATTTGATCTTAGGTAGACGAAATCAATCAGTCGCCGGAGCCGTAATGCAAGTCGGTCCGAACAAGGGCAATACCGCACAAGTATATGTAAAAAAAAAATAAAATAATAACTCGAAAAGTTCAAATGTGTTAAAAAGGATAACAATATTTTATATCTGGTTGCGAAATACAGGACTGCGTCTTTTTTCCCAACCCGCTATATGGATTCGTGACATTTTATGTTTGTTAGGCGAGTCTTAACATCTTAAGTTGTTTGTTCTTTAAGAAACTGCTTCTTGGTGTATCTTCAGGTGATATTCGTAAAACTTGTTTTGGTGGTGTGAGTCTAAGTCGTTCTTCAAAAATAAATTGTTCTTTCAGTCAGGTTCCTGCGAGGCAGGCCCAACTCAATCCAACTCAGCTGCGAACTGCGAACTTAACTCGAACTGCCAACTCAACTGGAACTGCCTTTCACTCGCTGCGACTCTGCTTATATGGACGCTGACCAAAACCGGGGTGGGCTTGTCGGGGTTTGAGGTTGCTTGATAATTCTAAATCCACAATCCACTTCTTTGTTTTCGGTCAGGAAAATTTTTTATTTTCCATTTTTGGAAGTCTTTCGTCCTCCCACCTTCTTCTGTTCTCATATTGGTATCTCACCATACCCTCAGAGGGTGTCAACGGGTTTCCCCTCTCTCTCACAGTGGCATCTCATACCGATCCCTTCGGGGGGGGTGTCAACAGGCCTCCCCTCCTTCTTCACATGATTACCTTCACCTGCCGCTCACGCCAGCATTCAGCCAATGGGCGCCCAGCAGTGTGGGTGTGGCCAGACTGGCCTCGGTTTAAAAAAATCTTGCTCAAAGAAAAAAAAAATTATCTTCCTTTTTCTTTTCTTCCTTTCTTTCCTTTCTTCTGCCCGACAACAAGTCCTTAGACTCTTATTTTAATCGTCACTCGGGACCTTCGCCAAACAAGTGGGTGATCAATTTGACGTATCGCACCTTGGTGCCAATTATTCGTTCTGATAAAATAATTTTGCTATCATAGCCAGCCCTGACAATAAACAGGTGTTTTCCCCAAATGACATGGAGGTGGTTCAACGGACATTTTGGTTTTGGTCAAGCTTGACCTAATTAATTTTTATCACCCAGCATTCTGCGGGAGGTCGCTTGTCCAACTTGAAATTTTTACCATTGCCATGGGCAGATTGGATATATCTTATTCGGTGCGTCGTCATAAATTAAATTAAATCCGACACATCCGTGACCTTACTTTCATCGCTAATGAGAATAAAACCATTCGCATTTTTCTTTGTTAAAAAGAATAACATCACTTAGTGTCCTTTTCGTGATGGCTTCTTATCTCCTAAATTTAATTCTCGCCTTTCTTTTTTTTCTTCTTTCTTTCTAGCAACTTAAATAGTGTCACACAAGTATTTTCATCAAATCTTTTAATAAACTAACAGCAGAAATAAAACCTTCGTGAACATAAGAACTATGGTAAAAATTTTCTCTTTCTTGATTGGCTGTCATGTTCAAAGTTATTTAAGTCCCTTTTGATACACCAGCAGTGTCATGTACAATGGAATCAGCCAAGATCATAAATTGATCTTTTTTCCAGAAATGAGCAATTTCAGTACATCAAAAACGGTAGCTAACCATGAAATACAAAGGTAATTTTCGGAAATAGTTTTTTGTTTCTTGGCACCAAAAAACCATGTTGAACAATGTCATTGATAATTTTCAGATTCAGCCCCCCTCAAATTAGCTAAAAAAGATGTTTCGTGTAACGACACCATTTCAGTTTCTTCTTTTTTTGTTGACCAGTGTTATTAAAAAAATGCTAGTCCAAATTGAAAGAACTTCTTTGTTGCTGAATGCTCTGCTATTGCTGAAATCTTATGGAAATATGTAGGTTCGAAATCTGGTGGACATGGAAGAACCTCTGATCCTAAAGTTTTTTTGTTTCTTGGGTTCTTTTGGAAGAATGTGTCTTTGCATTGTCATGCTAGAGAATAACATTTTCTGTTGACCAAAGTAGGAGACGTTTGACGTAATTCGTTTTACCCGATGAAGTTGCTTCCAATGTCTGCTTTGATGGTTCTTTGTACGCTACAGCTGAAAGTTTCTTAACTAAAATCCTTCCAATGGACATCTTTCCTTGAATTATCTGACTAAAATAAATTAGAAAAAAAAATAACGTTTTCTCTTATTTTATACATTTTTTCACAAAAAAATCGAACTTATGGATAGATGTTCGTCTGCTTCTTCCATTTCATACAAAATCAAGGCTTATTCAAAACTTATTTAAAACTTATTCAAATATTTTCCACATTCATTGCTAAATTTCGACTTCGAGTTGCTTCATACAAAAAGAAAAATCTATATTTCTCTTTTCTTTTGATGTCAACCAAAAACACAGAATAACTTTTGCGTTTTTTGTGAGTCTTTTTTCTTCCCGCTTGATGTTTATTTTCCCCTGCGGATTCACATTTTTTTTCTTCTCTTACACAGAATTCCCCACTCACCTTCTTCCATCTTACCGCTTTAAACACCCTGTTTTCCCCCGCTGTACGAGCAGTTCTTTTCCTAAATATTCATCAGCATTATCCTCATCCTGGTCGCTGTCATTCATACACGTGACATTATAATTCGCCTCGCTGTGGAGACATGCTTCAATACACTATCGCATATTCTTGTGTATAATATGACCCCGTGTTTCTGAAGGTGAAAATAGTAAATAAGTGACCTCCTTGTGTATAATACGATCCCTTAATGGAACTAACCCGATG